TCAGCTGTTAAGCATCTGTCTTCAGCTCAGGTCATGATCCCAGGGTCCTGGGATCGAGCCCCACATCGGGCTCTCTGCTCAGTGGGAAACCTGCTTCTCCCTCTCCCGATCCCCCTCCTTGCGTTCCCTCTCTTGCTGTGTCTCTGTCAAATGAATAAATAAAACCTTTAAAAATAAATGAATAAATGAACTCCCTATATATGATTATCTATCAGTTGAAATGAAGTTCTACTTTTGTAACATTTTAATTATGGGATTGTATAACCAGTTTACATTTTAAAATAGTCACACCATGAAATCTTTTTTAAAATATTTCCTTTGTTTATTAGATGTTTTAATTTTTAAAGGCCAAATAAAGTAATCATATATTCCTTTATGATTTTATCTGCTATTCCTTCTCATATACAAATCAATATGTGAATTTTGATCTTCACCTAGGTTTTCTTTCTAATTCCGGAATTTTTTATTATTAAGTAATAATTAATGCGAATTTATATTTTATATGCCAACCATATATACAAACACCAATATTTGGCTTTTTTAAGCCCTTACATTTGTATATATTATATGTTAAATTGTTAAAATATAATTTGCATATGCTTGAATTATTGTATCCATATATTTTGTTTTGTTCTGAATTTGTTTTTAACTCTTGGTCTTATTATTTAGGAGAATATTTTTATAGTAATTTGATCTCTATGCATTTGCAATTGTTTTTCCCTATTCCTGAAATATTTTATTTCTGTGGTCATTTCCTGATTAATGCTGCTTTCCTTGTGGAACCTGGTGAACCCTCACTAGTTCAGAGAGGTATCTGAGTACTCTGTGGGACCCCATAGTCATGCACCCCCTCATTATTGCTTTGCATGGTGCTCTGTTCATGGGACTGGTCAGGGCTATGTGTCTTTTACTGAGATAGTCAGTAGCCCGATCAGTGCAGAGCTAAGTGTGGCCAGTTCACCAATACCTGTTGGATGGAAAAACTGAATTTATTTATGATGTTTTCTTTGTCTGTTTGTTTTGCTTCTTATTTTTCTAGATTATGTGGGAAAAGAGAACATGAGCTCTGTTTTCTTCCCTGGTCTAGCTTTTAAAGATCACATAACACTTAATTTTCACAGAAACACTTATGTCATAATTAAGCTCTTATGTTGACTATCTTATATTATTCTGAATCTCATGTCTTTGGACATATTCCTCTGAGACAAAAGTAAGGCATGGTGTAGAATCTTGGTCTGGAGCTGCCTAGAAATGGACTCACCCAAGACTTTGGGCTAGGCTCTATGAGACCTCAGGGGAATCATAGGGAGGGAGGAGTTCCTAAGTGAGTTACTAAGTACTCATACCCCATGAAAGGATAAAAATAGGTTGGGAATTAGGAGGGAGGACCTTGAGGAACATACCAAAATCCTCCCCCAAAGAAAGAGTGAGCATTATAGCATCTAAACACACAGATGACCCTCATGTGAGAAAAGTTTTTCTCCTTCCTTTCCACAAACCCACACTCTCCTCCACTTTCAGCTCTTTTCCTTTGAGGAACTGGAAGCTTCATGGGAGGTGAGAGGAGAGACAAGGGGCATCGTATGGACTGGACAACTTAATACTCCAAAGCTATATGGAAAAAAATAGTTCTGGGAAGTTTATTGGAAAGGCTAATAGTGAGATTGAATGAGGTTGCTTCTTGCATAAACTTAATGATTTCCAAGTTATTCTATAAACCATTTATGAAGGCACATACAACTGTGTGTCCTATAGTTACATTTGGTCAAGTGTTTTAATAAGTAGCCATTTTGAAAATGTAATTATTTAAATTAATTTGGTACTGTCCATGAAACATACTATATTATCTACTTCAAGTTCTCAAAAGAAAGGCCTTTGTCGACATTTGCTGACTCTTATCTAAAATACTCAACACAGTAAGTTATTATGATGTGCTTGAGGGTAGAAAACATGGAAATTCTAATTGACTCTAAGTCTGCAGCCATGTAGAATTTGCTCTGGAGGACAAATCTGCAATAGTTTCAGAGTATGTGGGAGGTTTCCAAGACTGTAGGACTAAACAACCTATGGTTTGGAGCATTTTAAACTGTAGATCAGGAAACTACTTCTCTATTTCTAAAACTCCAATAGACATGTCTTAACATGGTTAAGATTTTATGGTCGTTCAAATAAAGGACCTGTTGTTGAGGTGAATACGGTAAAGACAGCACCTCATTAACACAAGGTGAGCAAAAGCAAACCCCGCCTCTGAGGAAATCCTTAGAAATCTTTAGAAAGTATTTTTTGTTTGTTTGTTTGTTTGTTTTCAGTTTCTTTTTGTCAGCTTCCAGGTATTGTGAATGATCTTGTGATAAAATAAGGATCTGAAGACAAGTTTCAGACTACCTCCAATTCTGGGAAGAATGGGTAGAATTTGTAGGTCCTTGGCATCTATTTTCTCAACTTTCAGACCTCATCCCTTTTAAATATTCTGTTTTATTTCCATATAAACACATTTACAAGCCTAATAGTATTTTTTAGATTGAGTTATGTATTATTATTATTATTGTTGATATTATTATTATTATTATTCAGAAAATAAGTTTCTCTATCTGTGTCAGAGATATATCCTGGACCATCAAATCTATGGTCTCAGGATCTCTGTTGTCAAATGAGACCAAGTTATAGGACAGATTTGCCATGAATAGGGATAAGAGGACACATTCTAACATACTGTTGTTTTGTTTCTTTCTTTCTATAGAGACTATAGAAAAAGAGAATGGTAAGTGATATTTATTTTTGACTGAAGCATTCCACACTTGATGTTCTTTCATTGTTATAAAAATGCCCAAATACAATATCCCACTTATGACCTAAAAATGTTTAGAAACAACTAAAATATCTTTCTGCTACTTTTTAAAATGTAAATATAAATATTCCTAATACAGGGAAAGTTTTAGCTGTAAATGAACCAGAAGCATCAGCTAGTCCTGGTGAGGGCTAGAACTCAGGTCTTACATTTGCTCCATGTAGTGAGGGCAGTCATTCTTTGTGCATATGATAATTAACTGCCTATTCCATAGTCAGTGCTTAGGAAACAATGAGAAAAAAAAGAAAACTCCCTTTGGAAGTTGTATCTCAGGACAGATGCACATTCCACATTTAAATGATAAATGTAAACAAAAGTTCTCATAAGTGTTATGGAAGAGGGTTCATGATGCCATGAACACATACAATAGTGAGATTGGACTCAGTGCTGGGTTGTGGATTTGCCTAAGAAGCAGCAACAGAGATGAGACTAGTGGTATTGAAGAGAACAGGTAGATCAAAGAGAGGACTAGCATGGGGAAAGCAGGAACTAAACTCGGAAGAGGTGAGCCCATGATTCTGTTAGAGGAGACATATTAGCCAGCTGACTCTGGTTCAGAAAACCTACATTGGGTTATAGGGTAGGCAAAGGCTGGGAAATGGAGGATCTTGTTAACATTCTAAGAATTTTGAATGTAACCCAGGAAACAGAATTTTGAATATTATCCAAGGAATTCAGGGGATCACACAAATATTAAACAAAAAATGGTACAGTGATAACATTTTCATTTCAACAATGTTATTTTCTTGACGACAGAGAACAGATTATATGGTTAGTAGTAAAAAATGAAAAACCAGGGGAAATCTGCTCTGAGCTATACACTTAGTCATATAAACCCATCTAAGAAATCTATACCTGCTTCCTTATTTACTATTTCATGGTTAGTCTTAAATGCCACTGTATATTATTTAGTTACTATATAAGTCTACTGGTCTCCTTAGTGTGAAAGAAAAATCCTGTGTAAAATCAGTAGTTTAATGAAAGAGAGAAATCCTATGTAAAATCTGTGGTTTCTTTTTGACTCTGTGGTTCTTGGCCTGGAGACCTATGTGATGGTGTTTGCAGTATTGTCCCTGCTTTATCTGATTTTGGAATCATATTCGGATTTAGATTTTCTGTGTGACAAACATTCTCATTTAATGAAAACTGTTGGTCAAATGTAAAAGTACTCTGAGTGGTTCTATATAACATAAACCCATTCTGATCGAAATCAGATTAACTTCAGATTAATCCAAATCTGAAAACCATTGCACAGAAATTTATTACGTTTCCAATAATTCTTCTCATTTTCCCAGAATTGAATTAATACTCCTTTGGGGTAAAGAAATACTTGAATTCATTTGACAAAGAATGCCAACAAACAACTTCTACTAAAATTAAATAAATACATAAATACATAAATACATAAAACTAGTTATCCCTGGAGGAAGGAAAGCATTGATCTACAGTTTAAGGGAGGTAAATTAGTAATGTGGGACATATCCTGATCATCATTATCATCATCATCAATAACCTACATTATTTATCAAAGTATTTTATATCAAACAAATTGTGTTTTAAAATGACAAGGTATAAATAAATACAAAACACATATTCTTTCCCTCATGCACCTAACATTAAAACAAGAATAACAAAAATTAAAAAAAAACAAAACAAAACACGATGTGGAGAATTAGAAGAGGGGTGCTTGGGTAGCAGTCAGTTAAGCATCTGCCTTTGTTCAGGTCAGGATCCCAGAGTCCTGTGATTGAGTCCTGCATTTGGCTCCCTGCTCAGCAGGGAGTCTGCTTCTCCCTCTCTGGCTCATGTTTGCTCTCTCTCTTTCTTGCTTACTTTCTCTCTCTCTGTCAAACAAATAAAATCTTAAAAAAAAAGAACTAGGAGAAAATATGACTGGGGATGTAGACAGAAGGCAGATCATAAACAACCTGTCACTTTTAGAATTTAATCAGTCCTATGAGTGGTTCAAGGAACTGAAGAATTTTGAGTGAGGATGGATTTAACCTAATAAGATTATAAGATTAGTGTTTAAAAACGTTTTCATTAGAGAATCCAATGATATGTGCAAGAGTGGGAATTGGGAGACCAGAATAGGGACTTGCACAGTAGTTGAGAAAGACTCAGGAGGGTGAGGAGATGGTGGGAACCTATGATGGAGCGAGAATCGAGAAGTCTCAATGAAGAACTCAAGGTGGAGGATGAAGTGGGACGTAATGGAGAAGGAAGTACAAACAAAATGGCCCTCTTTCTTGTCTGTGTAACTGGATACATTGATTTTGTTCACTGAGATGGTAATAAAACTCAATACTCTAGTACTAGTAATTCCTCAACTCTTTTACCATTATTGATCTCTTCAATTGCCTAAATTTCCAGTAATTAGTACCAGACCCTCAGTGACACTTGGCAAAATAAAAATAGGTTTAAACTTTAATCTCTGTTTTAATTTATTGTTTTGTCTTTGGTCTTTAAGTAACAAACTGTATTTTTACTTTATATGTTTTTTACTCAGTTGTTTTTCTGTGTGTAATTTCTCTTTTATTCTTGTTCTCAGATACCTCAGGATCAATAGTTTTGTTTACTTTCATCAGGATAAGGGAAAATCAGTAGTTCAATGCACAAAAAAGAGCTAGTTTATTGAATGTTATTTACATAAAAGGAAACCAATCACTCGATTATGCTTTAGAAGAGTGTTTATTTTCATGGAAAATATTAAATTTAATTAATTTTGAATAGAATAGAACACATTATGAAAACTAAGTCTTGTATTATTCCTTTTGTTATTGTAGTGTAAGAATAATCTGGATATTTAGATAATGAGGATATAGCTAATTATTTTAAAGGGATTGTAGCTAGGCAATGGAAACCAGATGGGATGTTTTTTCCTCTCTTTTATTTTCCAAAATAAATTAACACATATTATTTTTGTAACAAATGATGTTTGTAATTAGACACACAAAAAAATAATCCTTGTCAAAGTCAGCAGCAATGCCTCTGGTGACCTTTCTTGTTCTCTTAAAACACCTTGATTTTAGAAGTGTGTTTTAATTGGCAGGCTGCTTGTCAATGACTGTGAGTGGACAGACTGTGTCCTACTCATTAAAATGAAAATAGATCTTGGTGTGAAGAAGACCCTCAATAAAAATGTGCTAGATAAGTAGGAAAATTTTGCAATTAAAGTAGAAATGTCATGAATAAAATGTAATAAGTGTTGCTTGTGGATGGATATATATATATATATTCTTTTGGGCATTTATATGTCTTCTATGGAAAAATGTGTACTCATTTCCTCTGCCCGATTTTTAATCAGATTGTTTGCTTTTTGCTATTGAGTTGTATATATTTTTTTTATATATTTTGGATATGAATTCTATTACCATGACTAGCAAATATTTTATATCATTTGGATATATTTTGGGTATTAATTCTTTTATCATGACTCGCAAATATTTTCTCCCATTCTGTATGTTGTCATAAAATTTTGTTAATTTTTCTCACAGTTCTGGAAACTGGGAAATCCAAGGTCAAGGCACCAGCAGATCTGGTGTCTGAGAGTCCACATCATGGTTTGCAAATGACCTGTTCTCACTGTGTTCTCAGATGGCAGAAAGCTGAGAACAAGAATCAGTGCCCATGACTCTTCTTTTAAGGGCACTAATTCTATTCATGAGGGCTCCACTGTCATGACCAAATTACTTTCCAAAGTCCCCATTTCCTAATATGATTACATTGGGGGCTAGGATTTTAAAATAAGACTTTTCTAGAAGGAAAATCAGTCCATAACATGACATTACAGGCAAGGTAGTCAAAATCTTTGTTGGTGACATGTTTTAAAAAAATAAAACCTAGGGGCACCTGGGTGGCTCAGTAGTTAAGCATCTGCTTTAGGCTCAGGTCATGATCCCGGGGTCCTGCTCAGTGGGAAGCCTGCTTCTCCCTCTCCCACTCCCCCTGTTTGTGTTTCTTCTCTTGCTGTGTCTCTCTCTGTCAAATAAATAAATAAAATCTTTTTAAAAAATCTAGCAAAATGGTTACAGAATTTTATACTTGATAAATTGTTAGGAAATATCTACACACTACAATAATATGACATTTTACCATGAAAGAGACCTGAAGTTTAATGTAGGTCCATGTACCTTACCTACCTCCACCTCCATCCCCAGCAACTTGTGCAAATGAAGAGAATAAAATAAATAAACAATAATGAGAGAAATTAGAAACAAAGAGAGAAAAAGAGCAAAAAGAAATAAGGATAAAAACCAAAGAATGGAAGGGCACGGATCTGTGCACCACTGGGGAGGGTGGCGGCTTGTAGTCCCTGTGAAGTGGCAGTGAGAAAAATTGTAATAGCAGTTGTGGATGGGTGTATGTCATGTCCTTCTGAGCTGTGTGCCGACATGTGTGTATTTGTGTGTGTGTTTATATACTGTATGTATTTCTACACCTCTAGATTCAATGGGGTACAGATTCCCATACCACAAAATCACATATAAAAAACGCAAAATTCACAATGTACTCAAATTCTTTCTTAATATGTTAATCATATTGGGACAAATTTGCATTTGTTAACAGAAATAACTGCATTTAGTTTTTAATACTTCAGGCACAGAGAAACAGAAATTATAGCCAAACCTCACTGGTGCTTTCAGTTCTGAGTTCTTAAATTTATGCCTTCGTTGTGGGCAGTCTGCAGGAATCCATGTGCTTAATGTAAACACCTGGTAGAGTCTATTTCTGGACAAAAATTTCCATTATAATCCTTTGAATTATGGTAAATCAAAGCCAACCAAAAGTCTTTAAACCATTATTTTGCAGGACACCTGAGTGGCTCAGTTAAGCATCTACCTTCAGCTCAGGTCATGATCCCAGGGTCCTGGGATTGAGTCCCACATCATGCTTCCTGCTCCAGGCGGAACCTGTTTCTCCCTTTGCCTCTGCCCCTCTCTCTCCCTTGGTCTCTCATGAATAAATAAAGAAAATCTTTAAAAAAATAAACCATTCTTTTCCAAATATGTAACTTAAATCCAACCATTGTCTTTTTTTTTTTTTTACACAAATGATTTACATGTGTAAACATTAGAAATTCTACTTAACAACTCCTAACCAACTTCTCATAAGGATTTGTCACTGTTTTGCTTTTCAGGAAAGCTTCATGAAGAACTTGGTAAGTAATATTTCTCTGTCAGAATAGAAATCTAAATATATGTCAAAGCAAACTCTCACTACATCCTATTCTTTCAGAAAGGACAAAACTCCTGGGAGAAGAAGGTGAGTAATGAAAATGGCCAACTCAAGTCCTGACTCATCCACCTGCATTTTGACCACTCATCACTTTCCTGCTTTACTCACTGCTAAATCTTGATTTTGAAACTATGATTTTCTTTTCCTTTTTTTTTTTTTTAATTTTAGGGTTGAAATTGGCTCGAAGATATGCAGGTAACTAGAGACTGAAATATTTGGATACTGATTCTTATTTTTAGCCAGCACACTGGGCCACCAGAGAAGGGAACCTGTAACACACTCACAAACTCACACAGAATACACACACAATTTTATTTTTTCTCCAAAACTTCCATTTTATCCTGCTTATTGTTGAGTAGTTTATAGCTGTAGCTCCTTATATATCACAAAGGGTGCCGCTCTCTGAGATTCATTGATGCAGGGAAGCAGAATATTATAACCCAAAAGGATACCACCAACATGCTTTTCAGAACCAGAAATGAGTTGAGGGATGGTTATAGGGGGTAGCTGACAGGGAATGGGGTAAAGGTAGGCTGCCACTTACCTGTATTAGGTTGGCGGCTAGTGACACAATGACACTAATTGCCTATGGACCACAATCAGTGGTCCTCCATTTGATTTGTCAAATTGAAAACCACTCTCTCCTTCAGGATATCCTTTGACTTCTAACAATTGTCAAATTTATGACTTCTGCTTAATATTAGGAACAATAGCAATTTGTGTTACAAGTTACAAGTTCCTGTTAATTAGTTCAAATAAAGTATCTTCATTTAATTCCCACACATGCTATGAGGAAGAAAAGTCAGATATCAATCCACTGTTTTATAAAGAAATATACAATGAGTACTGATAGGAGATTTCTCCAGTTTATATAACTAATTGACATAATATTCACACTCATTAGACAACTTTACAAGCACATTTACTAGTTGAAAAAAATACAGTCCATATATCAGATATTACTTTGAAAAAATACCCATGAGCAAGTGAGTTGAAGTGGCTTGAAGGGAACATAATCCTCTATTTACAATGTTAACCTATAGGAGTTTTTAGTTGTTTTTATATCACTTTAATGCTAGTGGAATTTTCTTTGGGGTTATACTAACACAAGTAAAATTCAGTTTTACCTACAACTATTACTTCATAAGAGAAATACTTATAGCCTATATTAACAGAATCTTGTGTAATTAGGTAGATATCCATATTATTTTTATCTCAGGCTTGTGTGTTTATATGCTTCCAACGCCTTAAAAATTATATTTTGATTCATATATCTATGAAAATTTGTACCTATATAAAGTCTTTGGGAAAAAATAATTCAGTAAATCTAGTTAAATTTCATTAGATAATGAATAGTTCATTAGAACAGAGTTTAAATTGTCAGAACATTCAGATTTAAAGTAAATATATATAAATATTTTTTCATTAATTCAAAATTGAATTAGATTGGTATGGACTTGAATTCAAATATTGATGGATATTAGTAATAATATTTGGACAAAATTCTCTAAATCTTTGTTGTCTCAGCTACAAAATAAAAATACTTCTCCATTTTCTTGCTTTGTTATGAAAATTGAATATTTATAAATTGTGCTTCAAATAGCACTAGACACATAATGAGTGTTCAATGTAATATTGGCATTTGAAAAAAATATTTTGACTAGAAAAAAATCTGTCTGTTTAAATATTCATTTTTCCCCATTCTGAACAAATGCTCATTATCAAGTTCTCAAGTGTGTGAGTTGATAAATAGAGGTGATATGAAAGAGATGACTTGAGCGAAAGGAGCAACTTCATTTGAGGAAAGCTAGAGAAAGATCCTAGACAGAAGAAGGGCACTTGTACATTGTGTTTATTATTGTGATTATTATTGCTCATAGCCAAGACTGACAGCATATTCTTCCATAGAAAATGTTATCCTGGATCCAGAGACAGCTCACCCATATCTCCAAGTTGCTGAGGACAATAAAAGTGTGAAAGGAGGTGATACCTTGCAGGAACTGCCCAAAAGTAGGCAGCGGTTTGATAACCTAGTCTGTGTATTAGGTCAGCAAATTTTTTCCAAAGGTAGACACTACTGGGAAGTAAGTGTGAAAAAGAAAATAAAATGGACTCTGGGCGTTTGTAAAGATTCTGTCTGCAGACAGGGAGAAATCATTGTGTCCCCAGAGGCTGGGTTCTGGACACTGTGTTTGAACAGAAGTAATGACTACCAAGCTCTTGCAAATCCACGGATAACACTCCACCTTGAGGAACCTCCTGAGATTATTGGAATCTTCCTGGACTATAAGGATGGGAGGGTCTCCTTTTATAATGTGACCAACCTGTCTCACATCTACACCTACAGAAAGTGCTTCACTGAGGCCTTGAGACCATACTTTTATCCTGCCCCCCCCACAATGGTCAAAATGAACACCCTCTGACCATCCTGTCATTAAGGCACATAAACAAGCCAGGAAGAAGATATTCTGTGTGACTGAGGAAGAAATGCCTTATTCTGAATCTGCTGAAACTTGGAAGAGATATAGATAGATATAGTTGATATAGATATGGATATGGATATAGATATAATATCTATCTATATAGATCTAATATATATATGTATATATATAGAACATCTATATATATTAGATGTAATCTATATATAGATTAGATTCTAGACATAGATTAGAACATCTATATATATAGAATATCTAATATCTATAAATAAACATATAATATTGATATATAAATCTATATATATTAGAAAGATTAGAATGCTGGATTTCTTCCTTCAAATAAATCTAAACATCATTTTGATGTTATAAATTATATCTTTTTATCATTTCAGTCCCAAGTATGTACTTTTGTTAATGGACAAGAATAATTTGATTTGAATTGCATGCTGTAGAATTTACTTGATGATGTTAAAACTTACAGAACATAAATAAAATATCCAAAAGATGTATCTACTTATGCAAGTGGTGAAGTAAAATTAAATCAATTCAAGATAACATGGAGTGCAGTAAGAGTGGGCCTGGGTGAGAAAGTAGAAGACACATGGGGCACAGATGAAGTTGGGACAGAATGGTTTTAAATGAGGTTGCAGAGGTAAGTAGCTGAAGCAACATGACAGGCTGAGCTGAAATGGATTTTCTTTGTGCCACTAACAGACCATTGGGCATATTATAATAAAATATTTCATATATAAGTAAAAATGGTAAAATGAAATCCTTGAACAAAATAATAATAATAAGTGAACTATTCCAAATGAATACCAAATCCATCATCATAGGCTATTTTAAAGGAGGGCCTCAATCTGGTTACAAGAATCTACCTGTTCATTGGCATGGGATATTTAATAAAGTCAAGAGAGTACATGGAGGTTTTAAGAAAGATCTGTAGGTGTGTTCTGAGTTACTGTCCCAGAAAATTGGAAGATGTTATGCTTGCCTGTCCCTCACTTAAAACATATGGGGAAAAAATTAAGAGGTTAGTTAGTCAGTCCGTTTTATGAAATCTAAAGAACACAGTGGACTTATGTTTGCCTTCTCCCTGGGATGTTGACAGTAAGAGAAGGGCCACTGGCTACTCTGTAGTGTAATGGAGGAGTGCTGTATTGCATGACCTGTGCACTGAGAGCTTTTCCGGGTGAAGATCTCATGTTTCCTGAAGGTTAGAATATGGCCCATGAGAAAGAACTCCTCTGGGATGCTGTCTGCTTTAGAGAATACATATTAGTGAAAATTAGATTATGTACCATAGGATGCCTAGTGGCTGAGAAAGGAATCTTGACAAGCCAAAATACAGACATATTTTACCCTCCTCAAGTTAACAGTAGGAAAAAGGTCCCCAGCTATTTCAGGGCCTTCGAAAAACTAATAAGGGAAAAATGAGCTTGAAATGCCTTCTAAACATAGCTCATTACAATGATCAAGTAAAAACTCTCACTCCTTTACAAAACATAATAATAAAATAAATAGTAATAATGATAAATATATGTTGCTCATTACAACAATAATTAAGTGAAAATGTTCTAATTCCTGTTACCTCTAATATCCCTTCACTCAGACACTCCACAGTTCCCAACAATGTATATTTTCCCTTACTGCAGTGAGAAATATACCCGACTCATTCAATTATGGGTGTCTTATGGGTAGCCTTTAGCTAGAGGGCATAGATAAATTCTAAAGAGAAGTGGCTTCTAACATATTGAAGTGTCTTTCCTCTAATATTAAACTGTCTTGTAGAATACAATTTAGAAAATGTGGAAAAATTAGGGCAAGGGGGAAATTCATGACAAAAATAATTTGCCAAAATTAATTATTCCAGTTACATAAGACACAACACAAGCTCATTTTGCTGAAATGCCTGAAACTCTGCTTTAATTAAAACTAAGAAAATCAAGAGGAGTTAAGATGGCAGAGGAGTAGGAGAATCCTAAGCTTGCCTCATCCCTCAAACACAGCTAGATAAATATCAAATCATTCTAAATACCCATTAAATTGATCTGAGGACTAAGAGAACAAACCACATATCTAGAGGGAGAAAAATATCCACCTCATGAAAAGTAGGAGCTGAGGAGAGTTGATTTGAGGGAGACAAGAATTGTGGGTGCCACAGAAGGGAGGAAGCCCTGATCACAGAGAGGAGTGAGAGAGGGAGAGAAAGAGTGAAAGCAGCAGGCAGGGGATTATGCAAGAAAAATTCATGTCCAAAACCATTGACTGGGAAAAGGAGAGGGGCTGACTACTGTGAGTTATTATAACAACGGAGTGCAAAGTTTGGTTTTAAAGGTCTGTGCCATCACCAGAGTCATGCTGGCAGGCTTAGCAGTGCTCCTGTGGGGAAGGAGGGTGGAGACCCAGGAGTGGGCAGCCTGGTCTGAGGATCCCCTAGGTCACACAGGGACAAACAGTTCCCCTTCTTGGAGTGCATTTGGGAGTGGTGGCGTGGCCTCTCCAGGGGCAAAATAACTGGTGGGGCATAGCTTATGCTCTAGGGGAAATAGGTTTGTTTGTTTGTTTGTTTTAATCTAGCTTCCTTTAACAAGCAGACCAAAACACAGCTAGTTAAAATTTGACACACAGTGGAAGAAGGGGTCCAAACAATTCCAACTGCAGGGAATGAGGAATTGCAGAAAACTCACCTGATGGTAGGAACAGATAAAACACAACAGCAGACTGCATAAAGGAACCCCTCCCCCACCTTTTTTTTTTATCTCTTCTTAATATAACCATTACTCTCAGGAGTGGGAATATAACTGGCTTTCATAACAATCACACACACACATACACACACACACACACACAACAGTGACCCAGACAAAATGACAAGATGGAGGAATTCACCCTCATAGAAAAAACAGGAAGAAGTAACTGTCAGGGATTTTATCAATACAGATATAAGTAAGATGTCTGAAACAGAATTTTAGACAAGAATTATAAGGATATGAGCTGGGCTTGAAAAAAGCATAGAAGACAACAGAGAATTGCTTATTACAGAGAAAAAGAATTAAAAATCTGTCAAACCAAAAATAAAAAAGCCGTAACTGAAATGCAAACCTGAATGGTTTCCATGTAAATGAGGATGGATGAAGCAGAGGAACAAATCACTGATACAACAAACTAAGGGAAATAATAAAGATTAGAGCAGAAATAAATGACACAGAAACAAAGAAAGTAGAAACAGATCAATGAAACTGAAGAGCTATTTCTTTGACAGAACTGATAAAATGTATAAGCCCGTAGCCAGACCTCTCAAAAAGTAAAGAGAAAGGACCCAAGTAAATAAAATCAGAAATGTAAGAGGAGAGATCACAACCAACACCACAAAAATACAAAAAACTATAAGAATATTATGACAATTTATATGCCAACAAACTGGGCAATCTGGAAGAAATGGACAAATTCCAAGAAAGATATAAACTACCAAAACTGAAACAAGAAGAAATACAAAATTTGAACAGACCCATAACCAGCAAAGAAATTGAGTCAGTAATCAAAAATCTCCCCAAAACAAAAGCCCAGGGCCAGATAGCTTCCTGGGGAATTCTTCCAGACATTTAAAGAGTAATTACCTCTTCTTCTCATATTAAAAAAAGAAAAAAGAAATAGAAGGAAAACATCCAAGTTCATTTTACAAGGTCAGCATTACCTTGTTTCCACAAACCAAACAAAACCCCATTAAAAAAGATAATTGTAGTCTAATATGCCTGATAAACATGAATGGAAAAATTCCTAACAACATACTAGCAAATCAAATCCAACAGCACTTTAAAAGAATTATTCACCACAATTATGTGGGATTTATTCCTGAGTTACAGGGGTGTTTCAATACTCACAAATCAATCATCATGATGCACAGCATTGATAAAAGAAAGGATAAGAACCATATGATCCTCTCAATAGATGCAGATAAAGCATTTGAAAAAATACAGTATCCATTATTAATAAAAAAAAAGTAGGTATAAATGGAACATAGTCAACACCATAAAGGCCATGTACAAAAGACCCAGAGATAATAACATCCTCAATGGGGAAAAACTGAGAGAGTCAGGAACAAGACTATTTAATATCATACTAGATGTCAGCCTCAGCAATGAGACAACAAAAAAAATAAAAGGGATCCTATGGGATGCCTGGGTGGCTCAATCAGTTAAGCAACTGCCTTTGGTTCAGGTCATGATCCCAGGGTCATGGGATCAAGTCCCACATTGGGCTCCCTGCTGAGCAGGGAGCCTGCTTCTCCCTCTGCCTGCTCTACCTGCTGCTCCCCCTGTTTATGCTCTCTCTCTCTGACAAATAAATAAATAAAACTTTAAAACGAAAGAAAAAAGAAATAAAGGGTGCTAATCGGCAAGGAAAAAGTGAAACTCACTATTTGCAGGAATGATACTTCATGTAGAAAACCTGAAAGTCTCCAAATATCACTACATCTAATACATGAATTCAGCAATGTCACAAGATATAAAATCAATAGACAGAAAACTGTTACATTTGTATACACCAAAAATGAAGCAGCAGAAAAGA